AAGTTCTCGCGTGCGGGCAAGGACGTGGCTGGTGGCAAACGATGCTGAGCAAAAGGATTCGGTGCTAAGCTACGCCAGGGTTCATCCGAGAATTTGGCCGTGGTCGGGGCCTTACAAAATCGACGCGTTTGGCCGACCGGGTGCGGATACGGATACGGCGGCGGCTTCTGGCTGCATGAACTAAAGCTGCTGCCCAGCTGCTTCTGTGATGACGTGAACGAGACCAATCTGCGTCGCTGCGTAGGGCTGTACGTACCGTATCGTGCCGCCCAGCGTCCTTTCCTCGGAAAATTTTCGATTTTTGTCGAGAATTTTTAGGCAGCGAGCGTGTGGGTGGAGCGAACTTTATCCTCTTCATCCTTTGGCTGGACGGATGCGTGGGCGCGCGGGTGCGGTTGGAGCGTGCGTTATCCTGCAGGATCTGCCGAATCAGTGTGCGCCGACGTCCCACCCTCAGCAGCAGAGGCAGCATTATTTGCAGCAGCAGCCGGCAGCAATGTTATAACTTGACGGGTTGCAGCAGATGCAGCAGGCGGATGGCAGATGCAGGGTTGGAAGCGGCCGATAACGTTGCAGCCAGAGATTCGCCCAGTCTTGCAATTTTGCCGTCGTCTTGGCCGGGCGACCGCCAATTGTCTCTCTGCCTTGGCCTGCTGGCTGCCGCTGCCGACTCAATAATGCAAGCCGCTGCCAGACGGACCCAACATCCGCGTTGCTGAGCCACACAAACCCCATCGGCCACCTTGCACCCTGACTTCCTGACTCGCCTTGCACGTTCTCGCTCGTATCTTCACACCTCAGCCATCAGCCATAACCATCCTAGCCACGCTGCGACCGCCCCGCGACTCAAAATCAAAGGCGTCCAGTAGCTTGTGGCTCGTCATCCACTCTCGCCTATCGGAGCTTCGCCGCGATCAAATTTGACCATCACCTCCACCTTGCTGCGGCTGGATCCCGATCGCAGCTCATCTTCGGATTGCTCCGACAGCACCTGACCCCCATCGACAGACAACAGCAGCGCATACAACCTCGCAGCCAGCGCACTACATCCCCGGTCCTCGCACCTTGACCCCTCGAGGCGGGCGTACTTGTCCCAACAGCGCTCTGCCGATCCGGCCACCATGTTCAGCTCCATCGTTCACCATCCTTGCGAGATCTCGCTCCATCTGGTCTCCCAAGACATCTTTGTCCATCCTCCGCCCCCCAACACCGAAATCCCCGGCGATGACAAGACCCTCCGTGGCCTCGTTGAGATCAAGTGCCCCAGCGAACGCCACATCCAGGGCGTCCGCGTCGTCCTCCAGGGCGTTCAGACGCTCGCCATCCCAGAGAATGCTTCGGCCTCCGCCTCCTCCATCCGATGGGAGGAAAAGGTCATCATGGAAAAGACGGTCGAGATCATGAACGACGGTACCCCTGGCGCCATCAACGTCCGTCCCTCGCGCTCCAAGGGCAAGGAGAAGGAGAAACAGCCCAATTGCAACGTCTCCGAGGGCCTCCATCTCGAAAAGGGCATCCACGGCTTCGAGTTTGCCTTCATCATTCCTGCCTCCACCGCTCCCTTTGAGCGTAGCAAGCACGGTCGCGTTCGCTACATCCTAACCGCCACCGCCCTTGGCGCCGGCCGTGCACGCAACAACATTTCCACATGGAAGGAGATCTTCATCATTCTTCACGTCAACTCCGACGGTGGTCCCGCACCCCTCGACATCCAGTACCACGACGTTCACGAGGCGCTCGGCCCGCTTTCCGTCTCATTGACCTCGGCGTCTCTGACCGTAGGAGGGACAGCCAATCTGAACCTCTACCATCCCGATCCACCCGCAGGACTCAACGTGCACGTCGTGCGCGTCTTCCTCGAGCAGACCTTCGAGCTCTACAGCGAGCTACGCAAGGGTTGGCTCAAGCTGCCCACCGAGAAGCTCCGACTGTGGGAGAAGGGCTATATGCCCTACAAGACCAAGCAGCACACCGATGCCGTCGGTCCCGAAGACTCGATCTGGATCGGCGACATGGAGCACGGCGCCGCTGGTCGCCCCGGCCGTGGCGCCGGAAATGGACCGGCCAACCTTTCCCCCTTTGGCCTGCCTCTCAATGGATCGGCATCGGCTCCAGTGACACCCATGGAACCTGCCACGCCCATGCACCTCGAGAATGGTTACAGGATCAAGTCGGTCGTGCGCCTGCCGGACGACAACATCCTCCGACCCAGCACCGTCCGAGGCTCGCGTGCTGAGATCCGCGTGAGCCACGAGATGGGCGCCGAGGTCTTTTTCTCGCGCAAGGACGTCCTGGACACGCGCGAAGACAGCGATAGCTTTGGCAAGCCAAAGGTGCAGGTCTTTTCCATGCGCAGGGCCACCACCATCCCTTCGTGCTGCTGCACGTTTGACACCATTCACCTGCCTCCCTACTCGCTCGAGTCGCCCTCGAACTCCAGGCCTTCTTCGCCGACACCGCCGTCATCGCTGCGCAACTCGCATCCCGAGCTGGAACACTGGAAGCGCACCACCACGCTCAACAACCTGCTACCCGGCTCGCGAGGCAGCTCAGCTTTCAACTCGGCCGCCAACTCCCGAGCAGGCTCGCGTGCTGGCTCACGCGACACCTCACCCACACGACACGGCTTTGCTTCGCACTTTGGCAGCTCGGGACGAAAGAGCCGCAACTCGAGTCCGACTCGCAACAATCGCGGAAGGTCGGGCAACGGATTAAGCAGCATCGGGCTGCACGCGCTCACGCCTGCATCTGCCGGCCATATCGACCAGAACGGCAGCCACCGCAATCACGGATACTCGACGCCGCGCTCGCTGCCGGACAACGTCCCGTGGGCGGTCAGCTATCTTCCGGATCGAACGGGCACCTCGCACGACACGTGCAACTGTGGTCGCACCACCGAGGAGCTGACTGAAGCAGAGCAGCGTCTGCTCGAGGGCGTGCCCACCGCTCCGGGCGCATGGGTCGAGAATACGGATGCCAACGTGCCGCCGCCGCCGTGGGCGCCTCCGTCGCGCGCCAGCAGCCCGGTCTCGGGATGGCACTACGGCCCTGGATCGGCACGTGAGGGCTTCCGTCCGCGAGGCAAGCTCGCTGAACTCGAAACGCCGTATGGCAGTCCATCAGCATAACGTCGGAGCTGAATCAGAGCTCCTGCACAACCACCCCCACTCATTCTAGTCTCGACTCGGTCTCACATTTTTCTCGTAATATCCCTGCAATCAGCCGCGCAACGCACATGCCATGTTCCTTATTCGATAATCAAGTGTACTTGTACTAGCGATGTATGCACATGTGGGAGGACGTCGAGTGTGGATGAAGCTAGCCCGAGACGTCGGTGGTGATGGTCTTGAGAATTTGGTATTCGGCCATTCCGTGGATGGAGCCTTCTTTTCCGTATCCGCTCTCTTTGACTCCTCCGAAGGGCGACTCGCATGCGCTGAGCATGCCGGTGTTGATTCCGATCATGCCCGTTTCGATGGCGGACGACATTCGAGCGGCGATGCGCAGGTCGTTGGTGTAGACGTACGCACCCAGGCCTACGTCCGAGTCGTTGGCAAGCTCAACCGCTTCCTGCTCGGTCGAGAATTTTCGGATGGCTGCAACGGGGCCGAAGGTTTCTTCCGAGCAGATTTGCATGTCGTCCTTGAGACCTGTGAGGATGGTGGGTGGGTAGAAGAATCCGCCCTCGGTGGGGAGGGATTCGGGAGGAGGAGGACCGTAGTACAGCTGTGCGCCTTTGGAGAGTGCGTCTGCCACGTGCGATCGACACTTTTCCACAGCACGATCGGTGATCAGAGGCCCCAGGAGGGTCGAAGGATCTTCGCCATCGCCCTGTTTGTACGTCTTGATCTTGGCAGCGAGGCGCTCGAGGAACTCGTCGTGGATACCGGATTGGACCAGGATGCGATTGGCGGCCACACAGGTCTGTCCCGACGTACGCAGCTTGGCGAGAAGCACGCCGGTGATGGCCTTGTCCAGGTCGGCATCATTCATGACAATGACGGGCGAGTTGCCGCCAAGCTCCATACTAAGCTTCTTGAGTGTGCCTGCGCTCTGGGCGGCAATGAGCTTGCCCACGCGCGTAGAACCGGTGAGCGAAACCTTGCGCACGTGCTTGTGCTCGCAAATCGCCTTGCCCACTTCGGCCACGTTGTCGAGCGTAGTCACCACATTGACGCATCCATCCGGATAGCCTGCTCGCTTGACGAGCTCTGCAAACGCCAGTGTGCTCAGGGGCGTTTCTCCCGCAGGCTTGACCACGCACGTGCATCCTGCTGCGAGTGCAGGGCCGATCTTCCTCGTTGCCATGGCCAGCGGCAAGTTCCACGGAAGCAAGCACGCCACCACTCCGATCGGCTGCCGAATGGTGTGCACGCGCATCGCAGGGTTGGCTGCCGAGATCGTCTCGCCCTGTGCACCCGTTTCGGCCATGTTGGCAAACCACGCCAAGAAGCTCGCGGCGTACTTGACCTCGGCTTCGGCCTCGGCACGCGTCTTACCGTTCTCGCGCACGATGAGCGTGGCCAGATCGTCGATGTTGGCGAGGGTGAGGTCGTTGAGCTTGCGGAGCATGTCCGAGCGCTGGCGCGCGGTGGTGTTTTTGAACTCGTTGAATGTGACGTGGCACGAGGCTACGGCATCGTCCACATCCTGCGCGTTGCATTCGGGGATCGAGGCTACCACCACGCTGCGATCGCCCGGGTAGACGACGTCGAATCGCTTGCCCGAGTGCGAGTCGACACGCGATGCGCCGATCACGCACTGGGTGATGAAGAGCGATGGGTCTTTGAGACGCGAGGCCTCGGATTTGCTTCCATTGGTGTTGGCCGACATTGTGTTCGTATGGTGTGGCGATGGTGGTGGGATAAATGTGGCCGCGCGAGGAGTTGGACGGTGGCAAGACCGACAAAGTCGCGGGGGCTTTGGCGCAGCTCCACGACGGGGGATGCCCCGATTCAGTCGCGGCTATGCCTCCGCACGAGGTGGTTGACCCGTGCATCATGGTCAGGCTTGCTTCGCATGGGCGTCCCACCGACGTCACGAGGATAACGCCGCTCCAGGTGGAGAGGACGCGGGGTAAGTCCGCCTCCATCGCTGCGCAATTACGCGGCGGCTAGGCCTAACATTAAAGTAGCGGGCAAAGATCGGAATCGAGACGGATTAGAAATCAGCTCGATCGGCGATGGCGAATTCGGAAGCGAGCGTTCAAGTGCGAACCGTCGCATCTGGCGCGCTCACCAACAGCGAAGCTCTCATACGCTGAGCCACTTGCTCTCACCGTCCACCCCTCCGCTTTCCATCACCCTAGGGCCACCTACGCAGCCATGTCGCTCGCACGCACGATCAACTACATCCGCAAGGAGGGCATCAAGAAGTTTTGGCGTGACCTCAACTACATCGGTGACGCCAAGTCCGGCCGTCTCGTCGGAATCGACAGGTAAGCCTAACGCCAACCAACCTCACCTCTGCCAGCATCTCGACCAACCCACAGCTGTACTGATCCGTGTCTGTATTGTGGTCGAATAGGAATGGCAACAAGTTCTACGAGAACCACGACGAGTTCCCGCTGAGGCACCGATGGGTCGACTATGCGGCAGACAACGAGTTCAACGCTTCGCAGGTCGACCCGCTCTGGCACTCGTGGCTGCACCACATCCGCCAGAAGCCGCCGCATGAGGACGCAGGCATCCAAAAGATGACCCAGTCCTGGATGACCGTACGTTCCCCAACCTCTTAAATTCCACCGTCGGAAGGCATAAAGCTAACGTTGACTTGTGCACTGTACAGCCTCCTCGCGAAAACATCACTGGCACACGCGGTGGCTTCAAGACGTACAACACCACCAAGCCAAAGATCGTAAGCACAACCTTCTCGTCCGCTTGTGCATTGGGCTACAAAAGCTAACACTGCTCCTTGTTTTGCTGCTACCAGTCCGCATGGGAGCCCAAGGTCGCCGAGCGAGGATAGACACCCAACGCCCTGTCTTTGTACCCAGCACCTGATCGCCAATCCATTCTCGCAACCAGCTCGTCCCTTCCACACGCCCGATCGATCCGCACACGATCCTCGTTCCGCGGCCATGAGTCACTGATCTACCGCTGCTCTGACACTCGGCACAACCGCAACCTTGCGCTTCACACCCAGTGGCACACCGAGGGACACGCCACTTGGAGCACAAATACATATTTCAGATCAAAGGAAAGGGTAGAAGGTACAATGGTATCGTTGTGACCGCCTCGTCGCACTACGTGCGGGCAAGCGCACGCAGCAGATCCGTCGGATCGCTCTCATCGGGCTCGACGAACGTGCTCGCACTGACATCGGCCACGCTCTGATCCGGCGCGCTCGGCCTGGACTCTGCACCCGTCGTGCTGATCGATCTCGACTCTCGCA